GGATGGACTCACCTTGTAAAATCTAATGTAAACGTTCGTAACCCCAGAAAAAATGGCTCTCCATGTCATTGTCAGGAGTGTCACATTCCGAGCTTGTCCAAACTCTGGCCTACAAAAAAAGTCAAAAGTTTTAGGGCTACCCAGCCTAGATGAGTTGGATCTCGGGCAAACTCGGATTCTGCAGGGTGACCCCTAGGTTACTCAGAGGCCTGATGACGATGGGTTTAGTTCAGCATTGGCGGATATGATCGCCGTTGCACGTTGGCAAAGTCCATCGGCTTTGGCCGGAGTGAAGGTCTTGGCGGGAGGACGTTTTAGGAGGGAATGACAAAAAAGTTGCCTTTCGTGTCTTGAATTCATTAAGGGAGTAGAATATCCGCGTCACCCCCTGCTCGAGCACGACCCCAATTCTTTCAGGAGTGAAAATTGACCAGGTCGTGTTTACACTGCGTATACTGCATTAGCTTGACCTTTTGTGACATATGGAAAAAAAAACCAAAACAAACAAATCCTTAGGGGCCTCGCATGGTATTCTGGGTGGCATCAACCCTCGCGCATATTCCGCGAGTTTAGGGTTGATGCCATCCGAAACAGCATGCGGGCCCCTATGGATTTTTTCCCCCTCTCAAATTTTAACAGCTGTCGAATTGGCAGCAACCTAGAAGAATTTGGTGAAAGGCAGGAAAGTGTAAATACTATCTGGTTGTTTTTTTTCACTCCATAAGGAACTGAGAACGCGCTCGAGCAGGGAGACGCGGATATGCTGCCCCCAAAGGATTTCAAGTCACGAAATGCAAACTTTTTGTCATTCCCTCACATTTTAGCCTCAAAGTATCCCAGGAGGTTCGTGCAAAATGTCCAGCCAATGCGAGGAAATCGCGCGCTTTGATGAAGATCAAGAGTGGTTCAAAACGGTCGACCCTTTTTGCGCGCGATGTATGGCATGCCCCCGTTACCCGAAACGGTCGACCCCTCCCCGACTGTACCCGTTTTCGTGTTGGGTTCAGATGCCACTACGTTTTTTCGAGGCAACTGGTCTGGGCAGCATGTGTAGGGTCCAATAAGGAGTAATACGACAAACAATGAAGGCACATTAAAGCGAGGATCTCAAGAAGCACGAAATCAAATCCAAAAGGTTTGGAATCGGGTTGGCGAAATGAGCGAAACAGTAACACCTGCCCCCTAACACCCCTCAGTACACCTCGCAATTTCCGCGACCCCTCGAAACCAAAACCTTTGGGTTTGGTTTTCTGCTTCTTGAGATCCTCGCTTTAAGGGCTGCGGCATTCGAAAAAGGCATGCGCAATCATTTTGGGCACAACGTTCGGGTGAGGTTTTCGCTGAACTCGGATTCCAATGGGGGATTTTTTTCCAAAAACAGGGTTTGAACCCGGATTGTGACGGGTGAATTTTGGCAGGATTGGCCGTGAAACCCGGATTTGACGGGTGAATTTTGACGGAACAGAGTGCCGAACACGGAGTCTGACGGGTAGCTTTGGCCAGATACCCGGATCTGACGGGTGCCCCCAAAACCAAACGTAAGCCCCGAAACTTGCGCTTGGATTTTTGTCAGATTTTGAATGCATGTTCGCGCAACAATTGAATTGGGATCCGGCAAATGTTTTTACACAGACCCAAAATTACATTTCCAATATTCGGCACATCAAAACGAAAACGGGAACAGTCGGGGGAGGGGGGGGGGGGTCGACCGTTTTGGGTAACGGGGGCATGTCATATATCGCGCGCAAAAAGGTCGACCATTTGGAACCATTCTTGATTTTTCGTCGAAGCGCGCGATTTCCTCAGTGAATGCTTAACTTTTAGAACCTGATCGGTAGGCTGTCATTCCAGAATACAGAATGCGGAATATGGAATCCGCTGAAAGCTTTCCGCATTCCGTGCGTTGACTCGCCGGGTTAGGTTGTGCAAGAAGTTGGGCTGGTTTATGTGCGAAATTGCATGATGTAACTGATGCGTCTGATCTGACGAATTACCAAACTTGCCCGCCACGATCTTGGTCACGAAAAAACAAAAGGGAGGGGGGACACATGGCTTCAAATTGTGCTGTCAAATCTTGCACGCCGAACGAATCACCCAGCAGAAACGGCTGCAGATAGGAATCGCGCAATAGCCAGCTACGATAGCCTAGCAGTTATGTGCCTCTACTTAGCTTATCCAGGCTGCTGCCAATTTTGATCCACTGCGATTATATATCCCTGAATTTGTTTTCTTGGGGGTCAGACACGGGCTGGTAGTGGGTATTCGACGTTTTCCTTTTCCGAACAAAGGGCATTAGTTATTGCGTTTGGATTGCCCCACTCTTCTCTATTCCCAGCTATTCTTGCAAAAAAACTGGAATTCACATCGACCGGCTTTTGGCACGATTTCGCCCGAGTCAGCAGCTAGGTGCCCTTTCCTCATTCCGTATTCCAGCCTTCCCTATTCTGGTGATCGGTAAGAAAAGGGGGAAGTATTTGGGTGCTTCAAGGAATGGAAGGCGGAAGCAGAGAGGCAAAGCGGGAAGAAGCTGAAAGTCTTAAGGACGGATAATGGAGGGGACTTCATGAGTAAAGATTTCTGCAACTACTTGAAGAGCAAGGGGATAAGGAGGCAGCTGACTGTACCCTATACCCCACAGCACAATAGTATCGCAAAGAGGGTTAATAGATCTCTACTGGACAACGTAAGGAGCATGCTAGCTGACAGCGGGTTACCGTTGAGCTTTAGGGAGATGCACTAGGGATGGCTTGCTGGGCAAAGAACCGCTTGCCTACAAAGGGGCTTGCAGCTGATATGACTCCACACGAGGCATTTTATGGGAGGAAGCCGAACCTACAGTTTGCAAGGTATGGGGATGCATGGTGCAGTATAGGAGCCAAATGGACCAGACCACAAGTGGGGCATCAACCTCGGGATCTGTCCTGTAAGTAAGGGTTGGGTAATCAAGGATGTGGAGAATGGGAGTGTGGTGGTAACAAGAGATGTGGTATTTTATGAGAGTGTGAACTATCTAGAGTGGAAGGTGTGGACAAGGACATGAGCTGCAGGGGAGTTGGCTGCACCTTGCGCTATAGAGGAGATGATGGAAGAGCATGAAAAGGAAGGGATTGGAGCTGCTGATGAGGATGAAGGGGATGGGATGGAAACGGATCAGCCTGGAATGACAGTTGAATGGGTGTGGGAGAAATCACCTAGTGAAGCTGAGGAGATACCAGAGATAATGCAGCAGGACAGGGATGAGGAAGTGGAGATTGAGCAGCAGCAGGAAATAACAAGAGAGTCAGTTAGTGGAGAGAATGATCCATGGCGCTTGCTGGAAAGTGAAGACACGGATGAAGCAGCAAGAAAAAATTGGTGAACTGCTGGAGGATGGAGCTGTAGTGATTGGAAGGGAGGCAGCCGACAGTGAGACCGATAATGAGAAGAATGGAGAAGAGGGTAGCAAGGAAAGTGGGGGACTTCTGCAGCTGAGGAGTTGGGAGGGGGCAAGAGGTGAAGAGCAGAATGCAAGTATGTCCAGCTACTCATGACGTGCTGGAAGAAAGTTCACACACACCTGCTACTCACAGTAAGTGCAACAGCCTTGGTGAGCAAGGCAACGAGAGAAAAGCACAATCTACCAAGTGAGCCCGTTACAGTAGAGGAGGCATGAGTGGGCCTTATAGTAAGCAAGGGAGAGCAGCATTTAGGAAGAGCTGGATACCTTGGCAGAGAGAGGCACCTGGGAGTTAGCTCGTATGCCGGCGGGGAGAAATGCAGTAGGAGTAAAGTGGGTCTTCAAGATAAGGACGGGAGACTTTGGACAGTTGGAGCGATTCAAGGGAAGGCTAGTGGCTAAGGGGTATACCCAAGTCGAGGGGGATGACTACAATGAGACCTATGCCCCGTGAGCAAGCTTACAACGCAAGGGGGCTGCTGAAGGTGATCGTGGCGGGGTATTTCCTAGTGCAGCAGGATATTAAAAATGCCTTCCTTTATGGGGTGTTGAAGGAGGAAACTTACATGGACCAGCCGCCAGGGTTTGAGGATGGAACCGATAGGAAGTGCACGCTGATAAGGGAACTGTATGGGCTGAAGCAGAGTCCACAGGAGTGGTACAAATTGATGGATGAGCGGCTGATGAAGGGGGATTCACTAAGAGCGAGTGTGACAGGGCATTCTACTGGAACGGAGAAGGGAAGCAGTAAGTATTTCTCCTACTTTATGTGGACGACATATTGGTAACGGGAGCTGTGAAGGAAGAGGTGGAGAAGGTGTGTCCTCACCTAGCAGAGGTATTCCAAGTGAAACCGATCCCTCGAACGACGCTTTTCTTGGGCATGAATCTGGAGAGGAATGAGGGAGAGAAAAAACAATTTCTCTACCAACAAAAGTATGTCAGCGGTTGCAGCAAAGGTTCGGAGGGAACTACACCAAGGCAATAGCAACATCTCTCGGTGGAGCTGCAGAACATGACGGAGAGAGAGAGAGGAGGATGCTATCAAGTGGGGAAGTGAGAAGAAGGCGCTGAAAGCATACTAGTAAAGGGTGGGATCAGTCATGTACCCGGTGTCGTGCACTTGGGTAGACATGGAATTTGCAGCAAGCTATTTGGGGCAAAAGGTGCAGCAGCCAGAGGGGCGCAAATGGAGGGAGATGGACCGAAGTATAAGTTACCTACTTCAGCACAAGAAAGAGGGGTTGCTGTTTGAGGGAGTGAGGAGACGTTGGAGTCAGTAGGATATGCGGACGCATCACATGTCTCGGACAAAGAGACAAGAAGGGGAGCTTTTGGGTGTGTATACCTACTTGGAGGGATGGCGATCATGTGGCAGGCCAAGAATTTTTAGGATATAGCTCTATCAAGTGCAGAAGCCGAGTACATGGCACTCTTCTATGCTTGCCAAGAGGGGGTTTGGCTAAGGAGTTTGCTCAAGGAGCTAGACATTGAGGTGAAGGGGCCAACAGTGATTTGAAGGGACAGCACGTCGGCTATACATTTGGCGCGGAATGACAATTGGCATGGGCGAACAAAACACATGGATACGAAGTACCATTGGGTGCGGGAGCAGCTGGAGAAGAAGACCTTCACATTTGAGCATGTGCGGACAGAGGAGCAAGCAGCGGACTTCTTGACCAAGAACTTACCAAGGGCAAACTTTGAGCATTACAAGGAGTTGGTTGGTATTCGCACTATTGCAGCATTGCAGGGGAGGGAAGGACATGAAAAGAAGACCTAGAAGTAGATGACTTCGAAGACGTGGGATAGTATGATCTTCGCGAGCTGACATCGACGGTCGAGACCGAAGATATCGAGAAGCTGTGCAAGGCCATCCCTCCGGACTTAGCAGACCTGATTCGGAAATACCCTGAGCACGCCGAAGAAGGATGGAGGATTCAGAATGTGTATCGACTACCGCGCGCTCAACCGGATCACCATCAGTCATGTTACCCGATCCCATGAGCCGACAAACTTCTTGACCAACTTTGAGGGGCCAAGTTTTTCTCGAAAATCGACTTGCGTGGAGGTTACCATCAGATTCGCGTCGTCGCCGAAGATTGTCACAAGACGGTATTTCCAATCCGCTATGGCAGCTACGAGTACCTGGTGATGCCTTTTGGCCTCACGAACGTGCCCTCGACCTTCCAAATGACCATGAATGGAATTTTCAGGGAAATCTTGGACAAATGCGTCATCATCTACTTCGACGATATACTAATCTACAGCCGCAGGAGGGAGCATCACTTAAAGGATCTTGATGCAGTCTTCACGTTGCTGCACAAGAATCGCCTCATCACCAAAGGGTCTAAGTGCGACTTTCTTAAGTAGGAGTTGGAATTTCTGGGCCACATCGTCTCTACCGAAGGAGTGAAAATCGACCCCAAGAAAATCCATACCATACAGGAATGGAAGCCGCCAGGCAACATCAAGGAGCTGCAAAGTTTTTTGGGTTTCGTCAATTACGTCCGTCGGTTTACACCTAATATGGCTGGGTTATCTGCCCCGCTAACTGACCGACTCAACGATCACGATTGTTTTTGGTGGGGAGAGAAGCAGCAAGCTGCATTTGACCAACTGAAGATCGCCGTCACGTCGTCGCCCGTCCTTCGCATCTCCGATCCTGACCGTCCATACGAAGACATCACCGACGCCAGCGACATCACCATCGGCGCAGTTCTTCTACAGGATTTTGGCAACGGATTACAGCCGGTCGCCTACGAATCACGGAAGCTGCAAGGTGCAGAGAAAAATTATACGGTACACGACAAGGAAATGTTGGCGATCGTCCACGCGTTCAAAACCTAGTGGTGCTACCTGACAGGCGCTAACGTCACTGTGCGGACCGACCACAAATCCCTCCAGTACCTGCGAGCCCAACCGAATCTCAACCCACGACAAATCCGATGCCTCCATTTCCTCGAGTCAAACTTCCACTATACCATCACCTACAAGCGGGGCGCCAACAACATTGCTGATGCCCTGACCCGACCCACTACTCATACAGCCGTCATACTAGTCGCCCAAACCAGCCCACTCCTTACTGGACTATTTACCCACGGCTACAAAATCGACCCATTCTTCCACTCTGCCATTCACCAATAGTATACCACCGCTACCCGACACTACTATATTAAGCCCGACACTTCCCGCATCTGGGTTCCCGGCTACGATTTACTTTGTACCCTCCTAATCCATGAATCCCATGACAATCCTACCTTCGGGCATTTCGGGGTCGATAAAACCATGAAGACGTTGCAACGCAATTATTCCTGGCCGAACATAGCCGACGACGTACGCAAGTACGTGTCCTCCTGCACCGCCTGCCATCAACGAGCAGCCGGACTCCTACAGTCGTTGGATCCACCTGAGAGACCCTGGCAATACGTGACAGGACTGCTAGCTGGTTCTAGCGGAAACGACGCCATCCTCGTGGTCGTTGACCGACTCACGAATATGGCCCACTTCATCGCCTGCCAATAGAAAATTACAGCTGAGCAAACTGCCCAACTGCTCATCGCCAACGTCATCAGACTGCACGGATTGCCCACCACCATTATTTCTGACCGAGGCCCGAAATTCACATCGAATTTCTGGTGCCACCTGTGGGACCAATTCGGCACCAAACTACAGTTTTCCTCCGCCTACCACCTACAGACTGATGGGCAGACTAAACGAGTCAACCAAACTATGGAGCAACTCATTCGAACTACCTGCACTGACCCACAGACATGGGAGCAATCCCTTCAGCTGCTGGAATTCGAGTATAATAATGCGCCTTCCGCATCAACCCACCAATCCCCACTTTTCCTTTATTACGGTCAGGACCCCGTGGTACCCTCTACACCAAACATCGAGACACCCGTACCCCGATCCCAGCGATTTGCCGAATACATCCTCGCAACCCGAGAAAAAGCAGCCCAGGCAATCCGGAAAGCCAACCTGGTCGCAAGCCGACAAGCCGATCGTCATCGACGTGACGTCACCTACAAAGTGGGGGATCTCGTGCTACTTGACACTCGCAATTTGCGTCTGCTGATCTCGAGCAAACTCCGACCCTGATTCTGTGGCCCCTGTCAAGGAACCAATATGGTGACACCTGTTAAATTATATTGGTTATATATAATTGTAGGCTTGGTAGGTATTACTGAAACCTACTGTAAAGGGTACAACCCCCTCTTTGTATCCCTCTCTTCTCCTAATCTAACCCCTCTTTTCTCTCATAACTTTTGGCCCCTTCCTAAAACCTCTCGCCTACTTTTATGGCCGCCTAGAGTATTTAGTTAAACAACACCTGTCACCGCTCACCTCCGACTCCCGGCTGATTGGCATCACCACCTGGCTTTCCATGTCAGCCTCCTATGCCCCTCGTCCCCAGTTCGTCGGATTTGGCACGTCAGCGCATAATGAATGTTGGGCTGCAATGCGCAGGCAAGATCAGCAGGTTAGGATGAAAGGGGAAAATCATGTGTGTTGGTGTAGGATAATGTTAGGTTGTTCTGGTTATATCAGCCACTCTGCTGTGGAAATTTGTGGATGCGCAGGGAACACCGGGCTGAGAGGTAATGGAAATGGGAGGTCGGAGGGAGGATGGTGTGAGAACCCAGAAAGGAGTATGGAGAAGATACAAGTGGGGGAATGCTGAATAGAAACGAGATTGATGGAAAGAGAAGTAAGGAAACAAAAAAGGAGGGAGGAGAGGGTGGAAATGATGAAACTAACATGCAACAGCCTTGGTAAGAGGAGGAAGCACCCAGAAAGGAGTATGAGCACAAGTGCAGAAGAGTAACACTCAGGTGACAAAAGAATGAGCAGCATGGAAATCGGATGTGGGGGGGGAGGAGCGTGTGAGAGTGAAGAGACTTACAAGAACCAGCCTGTGATGAGAGGAAGACATACCCAGAAAGGAGTATGGGCAACATTATAGTAGGGGGATGCTGAAGTGAAACGAGAGAGGTGGAAAGAGAAGTCAGGAAACTGAGGTGGGCGAATACGAGGGAGGAGAGGGTGGAAGTGACGAAACTTACTTGCAACAGCCTTGGTAAGAGGAGGAAGCACCCAGAAAGGAGTATGAACACAAGTGCAGAAGAGTAACACTCAGGTGACAAAAGAATGAGCAGCATGGAAATCGGATGTGGGGGGGGAGGAGCGTGTGAGAGTGAAGAGACTTACAAGAACCAGCCGATGATGGGAGGAAGACATACCCAGGATGGATTATGAGCAAGATACAAGTAGTGGGACGCTGAAGCGAGAAGAGAGAGATGGAAAGAGAAGTCAAGAAACTGAGGAGGGCGAACAGGACGGAGGAGAGAGGGTGGAAGTGACGAAGCTTACTTGCAGAAGCCTTGGTAAGAGGAGGAAGCACCCGGTAATGAGTATGAGCACAAGTGCAGAAGAGTAACACTCAGGTGAAAAACGAGAGGTGGTGGAATGAGCAATCGATGAGAGGTTGAGAATGAGGAGACTTACCCGCACCAGTCGATGAGAGAATGTGGGTGGTGGGGGCACGAGTGTGTGCAAAAGGCAAATTGCGCATGGTTTCAAACATTTGGATGACAGAAACAGAGAGAATATGAAAGAGGAGACATGGGAGGAAGCGAACGCGAGAAACTGATACTTCTAAAAGGTATAATGGGTGGAGAGAGCAAGGCTAAGCAAAACAAGGTGAGTTAATTGGAGGGAGTATCACCACTGTCAAAGGGCATGCTCCAGGGAATGGAGTAGAGTGAGGAATTGGTTATAAGAGACCAACTTGAGGGGTTGTTGCATGCTAGCAAAGAAACAGGCAACATGTAAGTGGAGGGATTTTGGATGAAGTCAAGGGATGAAAGCACACGGAGAGGTGGCGAGGTAGTGCATGTAAATGCAAAACGGTGGATGTGGTGAGGTGGTGGATTGTTGGATAAAATGGGAACGGGCCTTAGAAGTGTGGTAGAGTGGGGAAAAGACAATGAAGGGTACACTATGCATGGGGTAGATACGGATGAAGGACAGAGCCATACCAAACAAAACATGGGGTGAGAGGAGTGCTTGGCCTCAGAGAATTGGCGTTTTGTGTGGAAAACAGAGCTAGGGAGTAGGGAGGACTTGGTGGGAAGAGTGATTGTGAAGGAGCAACTTACACGTGGTCTAGTGGGAGTGAATGTGATCCATGAGAAAAACAGCGAGCACAAATGCGTGGATCGTGAGGGGATATTTGCAACCAGTGGATTCGGATGACGGCAGGAGAATAGCCGAACATGAGTGTGGCTTTGCAGGGGGGAGTGTGGGATAGGGGTGCCTCATGTGCACTGAATAGGTGCGGTATTTGGTCAATATGTGAAGTCCACGCAGAACAGAAGACTGGTAAACATCCCAAGAGGGCAGCTCGCATGTCATGGGGGGGGGTGTAGATAACAAGGGTAGGCAGGTCCTAACTTAAATGCGCTTGTTGGAGATGGGAAAGATATCTAGCACAAATGAGTGGCAGAGAGAGTACACAGTGAGATTGAGAAAAGGGGAACAACAGTGGCAGAAACGGGAGAACATATCAGGGGAAAGCATGTAGGCAGAGTACACATACTAGCCGCATACAACGTTCTCCAATCCTCGAGTGAGGTTGCCCCCCGGGGCACCCTGCTACCATTGGGTCTGCGGCAATGGAGATCAAAGTGGTCGTACATCTTGATCCGGCCTGCTGTCAGCACATCATTGCGCCAGTCTTGCAGCCTCTTCCTCATGTACCCCTGACGGCGTTTGTCGATCCGGAAAACCAGCGACAGGTCCCGGCGGTGCTCTGCTTCTGTCCACTCGAGTGCACAGGCAATAGCTCGGTGGATTCTCTCTCGTGTTGGCCACATGTTGTAATCCACGTGCGGGGTTCTGAAAAACAGAATCTCGATTGCCTCTGTGATGTACTCCTGGCGGAGTGGTGTCGCAGGGGAAAAATGAGAGAACAAGTGAGAGGTCGGGCAGATGCACATTTGGGGCCGAGCATGGTTGGGAGGAGAGGGTAGGAGGGGAGAAGTGAAATGCGCACAGAAGAGCACGTGTGCAAACTCCCTGCACGTGCATAGTAAGACCTTAGGGTGTGGGAGGTGGTAGGAGACCTAACGACAAAGGTTTAGGGCCATTCAGCCCGTCTGATGATAATTTCGAAGTGGACCACCCACATGGTGCAAAAACGTGTGAAAAAAGCTATGGAAAGGAAGGAGAGCAATCAAGAACGTGGAGAGGCAAGGCGTGGGATTGGGAAAGGACGAGCAATATGCACTGTTAGGAGTGGGATGCGGGAACACTGCCTTTCGAACAAGAGAGGGTGGACAGAGAGGCGGACTTGTGAAAGAGGGCACGGACAAGTGGTAGTGTAAATGGCCAAAGGTTGTGGGGTGGAGTATACATGCTTCCAAGAGCTTGAGCAGGATGAGAGGGGAAAGAGTTGGGTGAGAGGAAAGGACGAGAATGGGGAAAAATACAGAGTGGAATGTAGGAAAGTGGACGAGCATACCACAGTTTAAGGTGGCGAAAAAGTTTGGGACATAGCAACTTACAAATGGCGTAGGTAGACTGGAGATTTGAAATGAGCGGAAGCGAGTGTGTGATAGAGCTACTTTGCACAAGTGAGGAGGGCTGAGGGAGTTAACATGTGCGAACATCACACGAAATGATACAACGTGCAATAACATGGGCACTCATCAAGCATAAGATCAAACCATACATCGAGCCCGCCTTCAACATCTGGAACTGCTTGCATTGCGCGCACCACTCTCGCCGCCCACTCGCGCTGCCTGGAAGTCAGCCCCTGCATCTCAATCGATTGATTGCCACGGTAAGCGCATGCAAACGCATTCGAGAATCCCACCTCCGTGCGTGGCCAGCAGATCAATTGAACTTGCGGCGGGGGCATGGGGGGGCTGAAGCGAATCGCCTACATTCGGCAAGTTTGGCCTCAAGCTCCTTAATCCGTCTCGCTTGCTCTCTGTTCTTTCTGCAAACTTCATTGAAGGCTGCACGTGTCACCGTGTCGGTTGCACCCAACCCGCTATTGGTTCCATTACGACCTGTGGGCAAACGGTCCGACCCCTGGACTCCCGCTACCCCTCGGACCCGCGCTGCCCCATGCAACCCGGCTGCACCTTGCACCCCTCCTGCCCCTTGCCCTCCACCTACCCCATGCAACCTTGCTACTCCATGCACCCCTGTTGCGCCTTGCCCCCCTGCAGTACCTTGCACCCTTCCGGCCTCATGCACTCCTGCTGTCCTATGCACCCCTGCTGTCCTATGTATCCCTTGCACCCCACCAGCCCACTGTCCTCCGCTTGCCCCTTGCACCCCACTGGCCTACTGCCCTCCTCCTGCCCCTTGCACCCCTGCTGTCCTCTGCACCCCTGTTGGCCCTTGCACCGCACCAGCCCATTGCCCTCTGCTTGCCCCTTGCATCCCTGCTGTCCAGTGCTCTGGAGCCGCCCCTTGGCCGTTGGTTGCAGCTCCTCCATCGCTGAGCTGCACAGACGATGGAGCAGTGGCATAATCAAAATCGAGACTGTTCCAGTCTGTACCATCGGATGCCTCTTCTGAATCCCTCTCCTCCTCCCAGTCTTTGTCCTCGTAGTCAGATACACACAGAGGTGCGTCGCGCCCACCATTCGGCATACTCGCCAACGGTCCAGCGTGATGGCTGTCATGGTGAGTTGTGCCATCCGCCACCCAATCAGACGGTAGCACAGAGGGGGTCCTGGCAGCAAGAGCAAACATCCGACCCACATGCATCATTGGTGTGCCTTGACCCCCTGCCGCGCCCTGCACCCCTGCTGCACCTTGCACCCCTGCTCCCCCATGCATCCCCTCTCCTTCTTGCATACCTGTTGGGCCCTGCATCACTTCTCCCCATTGCATCCTTTCTCCGCCTTGCATCCTTGCTGCACCCTGCACCCCTTCTCTACCCTGCATCCATGCTCCGCCCAGCATCCCTGCTGAGTCCCGCATCCCTCCTCCACCTTGCACCCCTGCTGCACCTGGCATCCCTGCTGCACCTTGCAACCCTGCTGCGCC